TTACCCCCTTCTTCCTCCTCCTCAAGCTGGACCGCTCRCCATAGCCAGGCTGAGCTCCAGCTACCTTCACCTCCAAGCAGCGCTGTATGGACCAGCGCTGCGCTCCAGCAGCATGTCGCCAATCCTTGCACACCGCAAAATGAGGAAGAGCCTCTGGCTCTTCCTGAAGATATAGCGGCCTACCGGCCTCCTGGGCGGTGACTTCCTAGGCCGAGCGGCCTCCCAGCAACCGGTACCTCCTCACTTTCGGAGGGAAACATCATTGCAGGCTCTGTTATTGTCCGGACAGGCCCTAGACCCGGGCTACTTGGACTGGTACCGGCCTACCTCTAGCCTACCGCTACTGGGCCTCTAAAAATGCCAACTTTTTGTCTTCTTCTGCTCGGCCTACCTGCTACTTGAGTGTTTTTCCCCAGCTGCTCTAAGTGCCGTGGGCCTACCCCCGCTACCTGCGTGTTAACCCCCCCTGCAACCCTTCAAAGTCACAGCCACAGGTAAGTACCGGCCCTGCGGGGCCTTGCAACCAACAGGTACCCTTACGGGTCACACACACACTCAACCGTCAAGCACTCAGACAGGCAAGCAAACGGGCAGGCATGCACACACACACAGACTTGGAAAAACACAGCAGAATGCGGGAATCACGGCAAGGCATTCATTCCAGTGGCAAATCCCAGAAATCAGCAGTGTTCTCAGTCTGTGCTTTGGCGGGTCATTACAGCGGCCTATTTCGGAATAACAGTTTTTTTAACCGCCAGTACTTGGCCCAGCTATGGATGCCTGGCCTCGAAGCACCCTGCGTGCCAAGTTTTCACTTACCGCCAGCGGGACATTTTGTTTTCTTTATGGCTGGCGCCTCCAGCCATTGTGGTCCGGTAGCCAGAAGTGCAAACGCGGCGCGATAACATGGCAGGCCCGCAACCAATGGCTGGGCCAAGTACTGCTGGTTTCGCCTGTCCTCCGTAGACAGCACTAGAAAAGCTCCGTTATACGAGTGCGAAGCACAAACTAAAAAACTCAAAAACTGAGGCCTCCTTGGACTCCACAACTATACAAAAAAGAGAAGGAGAACTATACAAAGAGGGGAAGGATTAACGGGAGGAGGGGAACAGGAGGAGGGGGCAGGATGACAAGCTGGAGGAGGGGAAGGAGGAGGAACGGAGGACGATGAACAGGAGGAGAACAAGATGGTGAGGCCCACTAGAGGAGGAACGGGAGGACGACGAACAGGTGGAGCAGGGGATGGATGACGACTGAGAGGAGGGGAAGGAGGAGGAAGACAAAAAAAAATATGGCCGTGTATCTCCCCATGTTCCGGGAGAAGATTCATTCCACTTTGCACGGGGGCGCAGCTCTCCGCTGCGAGCGGAGCTGCGGCGGGCACCTTTCTTTTTTTTAATGTTTTAAAGGAGATGACGGATAGACAAACCATCGTCTTTTTCTTTTAAGGGGTTTTGCCCCCAATATATCCGACAGGATTTAACCTATCCACCTCCTGATCCATAGTTACATGTGTGTACCACTCCGCCAATAAGCAGGTATGATGACTCGCAGATGTAAATATCCATAATGCATTTTTTGTATCCTCTATTTCTTGCACTTTTCGCTGCCAAATGCTCTCGCATGCATTCCAAACTCACAAACATTCAAACGAAGTTGCATTGGCACACTAGTTTATGCAGAATCATAGTAACAAGTGGACCTGCCGCAGCTACGCTGCGGCGAAGGACTATGAGAAAAACATTTTACGAAACACCCCAGCCATCAGTCGGACCCATCTTTGCAATGTACCCCTACTGAACGCTCCCCAACTTTGCAAAATGCCCCGGCAGTTACCAAGTTTTCGTAGGTGTAATTGCAAAAGGGCAAGAGAATTTGCACACCCACCTGACAGGGGCATGACACAAACATGTCAGCCCAAAAGGCCATTCGTTTTTTTTAAATTTTTTTATTATTTTTTTTATTTGTGTGTGTGTGTGCGTGTGTGTGTGTGTGTGTGTGTGTGTGTGTGTGTGTGTGAGAGAGAGAGAG